ACTGCTCAGGAGTCTCAAGGACCCAGAGGAGGTGCCATGACCAACAGCAGCTTCCGGGAGACGCTGGAAACCCGTAACTAGCCCCCTGTAACTCAGCATTTAAATGGGGTTAAGGGAGAACTCAGGGACAAAGTACATAGGAGCACCAGGACACAGCCATCGATCAATGCTGGATGAAATGATGGAGTGGTCTCATTTTGGCTGTGTATTAACAAAGGGCAATAGGGCAGAAATACAATTACTGTCCAGAAACACAGTTTTGTAGAAGGTAGGTCTTTTCAAACTCACCTGTCATTTCTTCTTGACACAATTACAGGTCCGGTTGATAGGGGAGCTCAGCTGATAAAAAAAAAATGCATTTCTTCTGGGCATCTGATTTATTATGGGGTGACATTTTGATTAAAAATGTGTACTATATTGCATTAAGAGAGCACATATTCAATGAATTAAAGACCAGCTCAGTGACAGATCTCCAAAGGTAATTATTAATGGAGATGTACTGATGAGCAAAATTTTGTCCAGCAAGGGTCTCTAGGGCTGATTTTTGGTCTCACACTAGCCATTTGCTTTTTCAGCTATTTTGGAAACAGTGCAACTCCTTCCATGGGACTGCTAGAGGTGACAGACAGGGGGAGCAGAGGGTTTGCCGGTTCCCCTTGGCTGAGGGACCACCTTGATCCCAAGCCTGCACACGATCCTCTTTCCTTGAACATCCTGCCCTGAGCTCCCGCTGATGCTGTGTTTGCTTTGTGGACCCCAGCACTGCTTTCTCAGGAAGGTCAGTGCAGCTGCTGCAGGACTGAAAAGAGGGTCCAAGTCTCCCCTACGCACCCACTGCGTCCTCTGTAGGGTGCCCTGGCTGGTCTCCAAGGTCCCAAGGATGTTTACCTGCTGGAGTCATCATGGCACGTCTCATCCCTCTGCTCCCTGTCGCGATCGGGCTTGGGTACTGGTAGAATTTTGGGCCCTTTTGTGGCAGAGTTGAATGTATATCCCTCAGGACCTCCCCTGGGCTTGGTGGTGTGAGGTATTTGCTTTTTCATTTTGTAGGTCTGGGTCAGGCCACACACAGCTCCTGGGGTTGCCCAAATCTGGCTGCTGCAAGGCATGGCCACCAAAGGGGACAGGGAGCAGCCTGGGTGCTGGAGACCCCCATATTGTCCTGCTCTGCTACAGAGACAAGGTTTGACAAACTACTGAAGTGAGGGCAGTGGGAAAGAGATGTCTCATCAAGGATGCTCGAGGCCCTGCTGAGCCATACAGACACTAAGGATCCCTTTGCTGGAGCTCTGCTCCATCAGGGTGCTGTGCCAAAGTGGGCACCTGGAGGGGTCAGCTCCCAGCAGCAGCGATGACAAGGCTGGGTACCAGTGACAGCCATGCTCTGCCCATCACCTGGACTGGGAGCCATCAAGAGTGATCTCTGGGCCCCGCCAGGCACCCCTTGGATGGCCATGCCACCTAGTGCTCATGTCACCTGTCCCCCCCTGCAGTCACGGAGCTGTGGCATGCCTTTGGACACTCTCCACCTCTGTGTTGCCTTGTGCCCAGTCGTCCCTGGTCCCTGCTGCGGGGACTGTGTGCTGAGCCAGGCTGCACTTTTGCTGAGCAAGCTGTTCCTTGAGTGTGACCAGCCCAGCCAGGGTCAAGCACGGGAAGGGGAACAAGTTTCTCTCTTGTGCAGAAAATCGAAACTTGGCACTTCTCTTTCCCATCCAGGCAAACCACCGGGCCTGCAAGTACGTCCTGTACATCCCCCCCCCACGCTCTTCTTCCTCCCTGATCCCAAGAAAGAGCTTCCAGCAGAGCTGCTGCTCAGACTATTCTGTCTTCACCCCCATCAAGGAGGTAAGTCACCCCAAATAGCTGGGGACCCATGCCTCTTCTGCCACCCCCCTGCAGTCCTTGCTCCCTGTCTGCCCTCCTTACTTCATTTCTCTTCTCCACAAGGGTTTAAAGTAGGAAAAGGGGGAGAAGATAATGTGGGGGAGGGAGAGGGCTACAGGAATTTATCCTTGCTCCATGTGGTTGTGGACACCACTGGACTCTGAAGGTTGTCCCAGGCTGAGTACCCCAGGTTTTGGGGTAGGTCTGTGTGCTCAGGACATTCCTCCTCTCTCCCAGCTCTGTGTGTTGGAGATCTGGATCCCTTTCGCCTGTTTATCCCTTTCCTGTTTATCCCTCCTCTGTCATGTCTCTTTGCACCCCTTCCTCATTTGTGTTCTCCATCCCATGGGACCACTGCCCTGTACATCAGTGCTTGCTCACCCAGCACTGCAAGAAGCAACCTCTGCGTGCATCTGACGTGTGACCACACATCCCCAGGACACGCACCAAGGGGTTTATGCCATGGTCCACATCCCGAGCTTTCCAATCCCACAGCCCTACGGTGGGCACATGTCAGAGATTTTCAGTAACATCAATGATTTCACCCAAGGAAACAGCCTCAAAATCCTTCCATATTTTTACTGTTGCATATGGTGTCAGGCTGTCTGTACTGGACATGGGTGGTGTGCTAGATCTGTGCTTGCATCTGATGAGAGCACTTGTCTGTGTGTGTCCAAGGGGTATTTGTGTGTCTGTCTCAATCCCCAATTCCCCCAACCCTGTGCTTGCAGGAAGGCAGGATGCAAATCAGGCTTTGGCTGGCAACCAGCACCCTGGCAGCAGTGCTGGGCTTGGTCCTACCTGAGGATGGCCTGTGTTGGGCACCGGCCGGCAAGGATGGCTCCCCGGGAATCCCGGGCCTTGATGGGAGGCCAGGGCAGAAGGGTGATGTGGGAGAGCCAGGTAAGGAGCAGACAGGGATGTGTGGTGTGGAGCACACCTGGGAGCCTCAGGTTTCTTGGTAGGAGCACCACGGGTGGAGAGCACCACGGGTGGGAGCAGCTCAGGAGACGACAGATGTACATGAACTGCTCCTCTTCACCACCTCTCCCCAGGGAAATCAGCACTGAGGACGGGCATTCGAGGACCCAAAGGGGATGCAGGGGAGATGGGGCCTCCTGGCATCCCAGGGAAGCAGGGCTACCATGGCCCGCATGGTCCCCCCGGGCTCCCAGGGAAGCCAGGGCCCAAGGGGGACAAGGGGAAAGCTGGCAATATCCTGGAGCAGCCGCGTCCTGCCTTCTCCGCCTCAAGGAGGTCCCCACCATCCACGGGCAGGACAGTGGTGTTCGACAACATCATCACCAATGAGGATAGCTCCTACAACGCCCAGACTGGGGAGTTCACCTGCCGTGTCCCCGGGCTCTACTACTTTGCCTACCAAGTGGTCTCCAACGGGGACCTCTGCCTGAGCATCACCAAGAACAGGGAGCATGTGGTCAGCTTCTGTGACTACAACAGGCAGAAACTCCTGCAGGTGAACTCGGGCAGCAGCGTGCTCAGCCTGGCCGTGGGCGACCGGGTCTCTGTGAGCACCGACCCTGCCAAGGGCAGCATGATCTACAGCGGCTCTGAGGCAGACAGCGTCTTCAGCGGCTTCATGCTTTTCCCACAGACAGGCTGATGGACCACCAGTCTGGACCTGCTTAGCACCAGAGTATTGTGGTGTGCGTGTCTGCATGCGTTTTCACCCTTCAGTGCATGGTGTGGTCTTATATCACAGTAAACAGGAGCCACCACCTGGATCCTGTGCTTCCACCAATGTCACAAGGTGGCCAGGTGCTGAGCCTGCCCGCTCCGTTCTGGAGTCAAAGGACTCCTGGCCCCAGCAGCCCCGTCTCCTCCTGGGCATTCAGACCCCAGGCCAGAGGGGTCCAGTTGTTACTGGGGCCATTCACCAGCTGTGGCTTTTTGCTCCTGAGTGGGAAATTACTGCATGCCACTGCTTCTGCTGCACTAACCATTGCAAACGCCTTTCTGCGCTGGGCCACTGCTGCCTCTCATCCTTCCAATCAGTATAAATAAACTCTTCTTTCACCACAGCCACTTGGGTTTTCTTTCCTATTCATGTGTCTTGCCCAAACCATCAATGTCCAGGGCCCCTTCCCAAGCTGCCCAGGGAGAGAAGTGATCCCGCTTTGCCCCTGGGGAAGCACAGACACCACCTGCAAAGGCAGAACAGGAGGGAACCGAGGGCACAAGTAGAGCTGGCACTTACAGGGAGGAACAGAAAATCTCTGGGACCAGCCTATGTGTGTCCTCTCTCTGATGAGTCCAAACTATCTGTCCTGTACAGGCACCAGATCATGCACCTCACCCACATAGTGCTCTCTTGGTACTCAGACTCTTCCAGGAAGGAGAAAGGCAGCTGTCATCCTCCAGCCTTTCAACAAGGGGGGACAGGGTTACTGATGGGGTTGTGGGGTGATGCTCTTCTGTCTTGGCTTGGGGTGAGACTAGTGGGAAGTAAGGCAAGCTGGGAAGGTATCAGGCAGCTAGAAAGCATCAGGGAAGCCATGCAAGTGCCATACCCTGGGACTGCTTCTCGGAGGAACTGCTCCACACGTGTTGGGCAGTCAAATGTCTCCATTCCTGGAGCAGTGAGGAGGAGGCCAGATCGGAGCAGCACCCTGACCAGAGTGTGAGCACAAGTGAATCCAGCACCCAGCAGAGCTGGTGAAACACAGCGCAAGGTGCAGAGACAGCAATCAACCCGCAGGTCAGAAAACCTCAAGCAGAAACTTCCTTCAGTCTCATTGCCTGGGGATGCAGCATCTCCCACCAGAGCCAGGCAATGACCTCGCACTAGCCTCTTGTTGCACAGGTGGCTCTGGCTCCATGGAGCTGTCATGGAGCTCTGCTCCTCAGCCTTCTGCTCAGAAACGAATTAAGCATGGGTGAAAGGCAGGTGATTTGTGGAGGGCTAGTGGTGGTTGGAGCATTTGTGACACATCCTTTGGCAGAAGGTCATCCCACTTCTGTCCTTCCCTCCCCTGCTGCTGTGGTGGCACAAGTACAGGTCTCACTGGACAGCCATGAAAGTGCTTGCTCAGAGGAAATGATGAGGCAGGAGGATGTGAAACTTGTCTGGGGGCCAAAAGGGAGTTCTGAGTCCCCAAGGGCCCTTTATGACTTCCTCCAGGAGGGTGTCACGGAGAGTCACCCACTCTGCTGTGCTGGCAGTCAGTGTCCACAACAGCCAGAGGGCTCAGCAGCGCAGGATCCCAGAGGTAAGAGGTGCTGCAGGGTCCATCTCTTTGGGGTGGTCTACATGGGGACTGGGGTCAAGCATCATGGCACAGTGCTGGGCTGTGTGAGAGGAGCCGGAGAGGGAGACAGAGCCACTGCCAGATGCACACATGGCCAGGTGGGCTGCACGCTTGTCACCACTGGGGGAAGGCTCAGTACCCTGGGCCAGGCACTCTCCTTGGAGATCCCCAGCCTTGGAAAGTCAGGCTGTTGCTGGAGGAGGGGTGAGATCAGCTGGGTCTAGGGAGCTCCAGCTTGCAGCGGTCTCCATGGTCTGCAGTGATGTATGCATCTGCAGGGGGTTTGGGACACCGGATGAGGAGAGCTTGGAGCTCATGGCTCCATCCAGACTGAAATTCCAACCCCCCAGGGTGCCATCAAGGGCTGTCCTGGGGGTGGTGATGAGCCCAGGGTCTGTCTCCACACGTCTGCCTCCCCACTGCCTGGCAATGGGTATGGAGGGGGACACTGAGGCCACAGCCATCACTTCCAGCTTCTCCTGGTGCAGTCAGCCTCGCAGCATAATACCTCCTTTGCCCCATGGCCTGGAAACCACCCTGACATGAGCCCTCACCCCAGCACTTTCTTTCCCTTTCCATGCTCCAGAGAACCAAAATGGGACAGAGCTTCTGGAAACAGTTCCATCTGGCCCTCACCATCTTAGTCCTGAACCTGGGGTCTGCTGTCACCGGAGATGGCACTTCCAGCTGCTATGGGATTCCAGGGCTGCCAGGCCTGCCGGGTGTACCGGGCAGGGATGGCCGGGATGGGCTGAAGGGAGCCAAAGGAGAGCCAGGTGAGTGAGCAAAGAGGCTGTTGAAGGGGGGACATTGAGTCCTCCATGGTGGGTCTGCCAGCCATGGAGAGCATCTTCTGTGAACAGGACAGGAGTAGAGGAGGCTGGAGAGAGGCAACAACCTTCTCCTGCCCAAGGGAAGGGGCTGGAGGACCCCCTCCCCACATCCTGCTGTTGACGATTCTCTTTCACTCCTCACCGCCCCACAGGCCTCCCGGCCACTCCTGTAACACAAGGGCCCAAGGGCATGAAAGGGGAGCCGGGCAACCCTGGCTTGCCAGGCAAGACTGGCCCCACCGGTCCCCCTGGTCCTCCTGGAGACCCTGGAATGATGGGCAAGGCGGGAGAGCCGGGAATGCCAGGCAGCTACAAGCAGAAGCACCAGTCAGCATTTTCAGTGACAAGGCAGACCAGTGAGCATCCCCCGAAGAATGTCCCTGTGGTGTTCAACCACGTCATCACCAACACTAACCACGACTACAACACCACCACGGGCAAGTTCACCTGCAAGATCCCCGGCCTCTACTACTTTGTCTTCCACACCTCACAGACATCCAACCTCTGCGTCATCCTGTACAAGAATGGGATCAAGATGGCCAACTTCTGCGACCATAATACCAACACCATACAGGTCAGCTCTGGTGGAATCCTTCTCCGTCTGGATTTTGGGAACCAGGTCTGGCTGACAGTGAATGACTACAGTGGCATGGTGGGCATCAGCAACTCTGACAGCGTCTTCTCAGGGTTCCTGCTCTTCCCAGACTAGAGACCCACCAGGGCCCACCCCTGCACGCCTTTTTCATCATCCTGCCCTGCAAATGCTGCTGCTTACTGCCGAGCTGTTGCTGATGCTCCAGGTTTCTCTGCTGGGTGGGAAGCCCCATCAAGGGGATCAGCCTGAGCCTCCAGCCTCACACCCCTGGCCTGGGGACAGAGGGCAGGCGGTTGCTGAACCGGGGCAACAGGCATCCCTGGATGCATCTGCACCCAGAGTGATGGTGCCAGGCCCCGGGGTCCTGTTGGCACTTCCACCTGCATCCACCCTGATAACCTCACATTATCTTCTGCTGTTGGAGACAGAGGTCTCCCTGCATGTCTCCCCGCATGTCTCCCCTTCCCACCTGGATTGCACCAGGGACACCCGGGTGTCCTGGAGCAGGCTTGCAGCAGCACCTTTGCTGTCACCCAGCTGTGGAAAGTCTCAATAAATCCTTCTCCAGTGGTCCTGACCCAGCGTCTTTTTTCTTTCATGAGTTACCTTTCTGCAGGTGGGGCCCATGTGTGGCTGGATGGATGTGGTGTGCACGACATCTGGATGTCTAGGTGGCATCAGAATGTCCCCAATACCTCTCTGGCTCCACCATGCTCAGCACCAGCTCACAGTTCTGGCTTTGCTCAGTGGGGTAGGACCCCCAGCTAGACTGACTGCAGGAATGGGATGGTTCCCGTGTCCATGCACACAGGCCCCACTGAGGGGGGACCAAGACTATTCCAGGCAGGGACCCTGACATTCCTCTTCTCCTCCAAGTGGATACAGTTCTGTTACAGAGGGCCACAGAGCATGCAGCAAACTTCATAGCCATACCTCTGGTTGCCAGGACATCCACAGGGTCCCAGCCTCACCAGGGACAGGGCAGGGGAAGCACTGGCTTCCCTGAGACAGACAAAAGGAGTTCATAGCTGTGGAGGCTGCAGACCCCACCAAAACCCAATGGAGATTCCTCCTGGTGGCACATATTTTACAATGGAAAAGGAGGTCATCTCCCCTGAATGTTCTGGGCTTCGCCTCCACAAGGCATCAGCAGAAATAAGGACTAGAAATACTTTTACCACAAGGTGAAATCTCTTCCCATCCGCAACATTTAGGAGAGCCTGGGGGACAGATTCAAGGTGGTGGATGCTGAGACCCTGTAGCAGCCTCTGGGCCTGCCAGTACCGCCCAGCAGAGCTGGGTATGGCCTGAGGGGTGATGGCTAAGTGCGTGCACATTTCTGCAGTCCTGACGCATTACCCCAATCCTGGCTGGAGCTCACAGCAGCGTTCCCCATAGCAAGCACACTTGAGCAGGATCCAGGGACCCTGCAGGGCAGAACGAATGTCACTCTGCTCCCTGGGGCCAGAGCCATACTTGTGTGGGGCCCCAGGGTGCTGTGTGGGGACAGCACGTCCTGCTGAGCTGGTGGACAGCATTTGTGGCGGATGTGAAAGTGCCACTGAAGAAAGGGTAAGAGCTAAAGATAAAAAAGGGATGTGGCCCAAATCCTTTCACAATAGCCCTTGCAGCAAACTTCTGCTTCTCCTTATGGTCATTTCCAAGCAGGACGCTGGTGTGTCCTGGTCCATCTCTCCATCTGTGCAAGAAGAAGCCCAAGGTAAGAGCAAGATGTTGGCAAGGCTAAGCCCCAGCTCTCACCTGCAGGTAGGAGCACATGGGTGACCCGGCAGCACCAGGGTGACAGTCACCCCTACATCACCGGCATTTCTCTGTGGCTTGGGGCAGAAAAGAGAAAGGTCTGCTAGACTGGGGGTGGTGGAGATCTCTGATGGGAACCCAACCACTCCTGCTCCACCCGGGGGAAGAGAGGGACGGAGAGGGGAGATGGCAAAGATTCAGAGGGGTGATCAAGGACTGAGTATCAGTCTGAAAGGTGCCCTGGGGATGCTCTACCTGGGTCCTGGCTGGGAGCCTGTGCATCAGTCCTTGTACCTGCTGCATCCAAATCAGAGCTTCTGCAGCTGCAGTATCCAACTTACTGATTCCTTTTCCTGCTGACACCAGAGTTTCAGAGATGGGAAAGCCCATCTGAGGCCAGAGAGTGTGGAGGTGGTGATGTGATGTCCAGATACAGCCCCCAAATGCCCAGTGCTTACTACAAGTGTACCTGCACCAGGAGCTGGGGGGGAGAAGCTGAGCTGCGGGACGCAGAAGGGAGGGCAGATGGAAGATGGGACCCCAGGGACTGGAAGCCCAGATGACTGTGCCAGTAAGGTTGGTTAGATACAGAAATGCTTCTGGGATGAAGTAGGCATGCGGCAAAACACCACAAGACCCCACAGTAGTGGAGAGAGAACAGGTCTGGGGATTTCACTGCCACCTGCAAGGACTAAAGCTGTCTCTCATATATACTGATGGAAAGCAAGAGCTATTCCCTTGCAGATGATGAAACTACTCTGGTCTGGGGAAGGATTTTACCCTGCAGGTGTGACCCTAAGATGAGATGGATAATTTCTCCTCTGAGTAGTACAGACTCAGAGCAGTAGGAACCTGCAGCACATGCCCTGGCACCAGCATGGCCAGGCTGGACATCAGACCTCTGTCCCCAGATATTCATGTGGCTGAAGCTCTGGGCACCTGTAAACTGGTAATTTAAGAGCCAGAGGAGACTGGCAAGCCTTCTCATGCCCCAAAGTGCTGGTCCCTTCAAGACCATCAGGAGAGTGGATTTGGGTCTGCAGCAGGATGTTTTCCCTCCCTGATGGTATTACCAAAAGTCATTGTCCTCCAGAGAAGTACAGAATACCTTCCACATCCCTCCTGCTGCCCAAGGTAAGCCCCTCAACATTCTTCTGTGCTCCCGCAGATGCAGACCATGTGGGTGATGCTTATCTGCCTGGCTGGAGGGAAACTTGCAAGTGCCACACTCTGCAAGAACTATGGCACCATCCCAGGCATCCCAGGGTCACCAGGACAGCCTGGCAGCAACGGCAAAGATGGGAAGGATGGCCCAAAGGGCGACCGAGGTAAGGAGAAAGCTGCAGGTGGGGAAAGTGTTGTTTTGTAAATATTGAGAGCAGGAAAAGGTAGTTCCAGGCACATGGTTCTGGGAAAGCAATCCACTTTCCATCAGTCCCTTTGGGGTGTTATCAGGTGAGGGTGATGCCTGAAGACAGAAGAGGCTGGGCAGACCAGAGCACCCCAAGGAACCTGGGGAGGGAGGGTGCACGAGAGCAAGGGGTGGGCAGGGGTCTTTGTTGACCCACACCCCAGTGTAGGTTCCCAGTGGCCCCTCTGCAGATCTGTGGTGCTCAACTGTGACTGCAGTGACTCTTCATCCTGATTTCTAGGTCCCCCTGGCCTGGTGGAGCATGAAGAAGACATGGGGGAGAAGGGAGACCCAGGACAGCCGGGGTACCCTGGGAAGATTGGCCCCAGGGGCCCCCCGGGTTCAAAGGGATTACCAGGTCCCCTGGGACCCCCTGGCCCTGATGGGGACTCTGGTGACTACCAGGCCACCCTCAAGTCTGCCTTCTCTGCTGCCAAGAGCACGAGCGCCTACCCACGCCGGGACCAGCCTGTCCGCTTTGACCGCATCATCACCAATGAGAGGCGCCACTACGAGAACCGCTATGGCCGCTTCATCTGCCGAGTCCCAGGCATCTACTACTTCACCTACCATGTCACCTCCAGGGGCAACCTGTGCCTCAGTGTGAAAAAGGGTCGGGGTGGCAGCAGGGGTGAGAAGGTGGTGACATTCTGTGACTACGTGCAGAACAGCTACCAGGTCACCACGGGTGGTGTGGTCCTCAAGGTGGCAGTGAATGAATCTGTCTGGCTGGAGCCAACAGAGAAGAACTCCCTAATGGGGTTGGAAGGGTCCGACAGCATCTTCTCGGGCTTCCTGATCTTCCCTAGTGCTTAGTCCACCGATGGTGTCTCCCTGCAGCCCTTCCCCTGCTGCTTGCTGACCCCTGCAAGGCTGAGGATTCACCTGGAAGTTATTCTGCTCCAGATCTGGTTCCCTAAGGCCATTGCTGCCAATCTTGCACATTAAATGACAGCTCCTTGTGCTGCTAGTTCCTTCCTGCCTAGGATTTGCCTCTTTCCCTTCAAATAATGCTCAGATACCCAGGGCATGGCCTCCTGCACCCTTGGGTGTAGCCTGGGCTCATTAGCATTTTATTACTACCGAGCAGAGCCAGGCAATTCAGGCAGTTTCTGCTGCAGCCCATCCTGAGCATCTCCTTCCACAGCCACCCAGACAAAGTCCCAGTCCAGGTTTAGGAAAACATAGAGAGGACACCTAGTCTCTAGCAGGGGGTGGGACTCACAACATAGTGAGAAAACTGGGGGCACTGGGTGCCAGTGGGAGGTGCAAAGATGCTGAAGATGGTGTTGTGCTGGAGAGCCCAGGAGCTGGTAGGAGCTGGGGATTCCAACCTTTTTTAAGACTTTTTTTTGGGGTAGTGAATATCCACAGAAGCTTGTTAAAACTTGTGAGAAGATGACCCAGGTGTACATGGCCAAGCCAGAGCTTGATGCTTTGATGGCAGTGGTGTGGGTCACATGGCTGTCCCCTGGTGCAGGCGGGCAGGCCCAGAGCAGACCCCTAACACCGGCAGAGGACCAACACATGCAAGTCCTACAGCACAACCAAGCCCCCCTGAAGATCCAAGGACCTCCAGATGAGTAAGAGCTGAGGCCCCCGAAGATGTCCCTGTCCCTGGGGCAGGTGACAATCCAGCATTGTACCTAGGCGGAGGTTTGCCTACAGCCCTCAGCCCAGCTGTGGCAGGTGGTACCAAAAGCCATGGGGTGTGAGGCCATGAGGGTGTACATGGGGTGCTCGGGATGTAGGAGAGTTTTTGTGGGGATTGGGATTTGAAAGGGGCTGGCTGTGGAGGAGGATGATAAAGGGTATTGGTGGGGGAGCAGAATATGGGCCTGGATTTTATGAAGCATCATTGCTGAGCTCTTGGGGTCTCCTGATGGGCCTAGGGCCCCACAGCTCCGGGCTGCACAGGTCTCCCTGCCCCAGCGCAGGACAGTGACTGGCCCTGGTGAGGCCAGCTGAAAAACTCCAGTGTCTGTCTGAGATGACCTGCTGGCAGGTGGCACTGGAGACTGGATCAGCCCTGGTCCTGCCAGCGGGGCATCCCTGTCCCACAGGCTGGGAGAGCAAAGCTGGCAGGGCAGGAGTGCGAGGCTCAGCTCTGCCTGGTCCATAAGGTCTGGGAGGAGGCACCGGGCAGGATTAGTGCCTCCTCTTGCAGCCCATGTTAATGCTTGGTCTTTGCAACTTCGCCACTTGGTCCTTCACCCAGCAAAATCTGTGGCACTTGTCCCCAGGAGGGCAGCCACCCCATGTCCCAAGCCCTCTACCTACTGTCAGAAAGTTGAGGTGGAAGTGTTGGGTGTTGCATCCCAAAGGTCTCCCCGTGCAGGAGCACCGAGCTGCTTTTAAAATGCAGCTGCAATGCTCACACCATTTTGCAGTTGGAGATTCAGCCT